TTTGTTTTTCTTGAGACATCCTCATTTGAGGCAGTGGCAGATATTTTGCTAATAAATTTCAGCCGTTTCCTAGGAGGTAAGCAGGTTGAGGCAGGGTGGTTCCCTCGCAATCAGTCCCCAGAGGGACATGCTTCTGTTGCAGAGCTCACGGCGTCTCCACGGAAGTAGATTGTTGATTGTTGGAGTTCAGTAACTCGTTCTTGACTTGCATGGAATCAAATTTAATTAAATAGATGAAATCATGTGTTCTAAACCAGTCACGATGTCAATGACCTTCACTAGAACTCAGCTAAGAAGGGTTATTTTGCTTATATACTCATTTCATAAGCAAATATAATGCGACTGTGGTTATTGGGTAAATATTGATGTTCTGACATATCTCATTGTGTGTGTTTGTGTACAAAGGGGCTTCTGTGCCAAAAAGGAAAAAACTCTGCCTGAATTCTATCTTAAATACAACCTTCAAACCCCATGTCCAGAAAAAGAATGGGAACTATTTCTGCTAACACCTAGAAACGAGGCGCCAGGTTTGTGCATGGCCTGTCAGTGGCTGAGTGCATTAGCCCAGGACTTTCCAGCCACTGCAGTGTGAAGTTTCTGAAGAGAAGTCAGAAATGGAATTTCAACATTTCTTTGTTTCTTATTCTGCTGGGCTGTCTTCACCCTTCCTACATTCTTCTTTTGGGCTTCTGTGTGTGTGAGATCTGTTTTTTTCTTTTTTTGGTTGTTTTATTTTTCCTTTAGAAAAGGAAAAAGATTTACTTAAAATGAATTCACCCCCCCCACCCCCCAGGGGGAGGCAATGAGCAGGTATTTCCCTAAGGAGAAATCACACTTATACTTGCGGATGTGTCTGGTTGTTTTATTTTTCCTTTAGAAAAGGAAAAAGATTTACTTAAAATGAATTCACCCCCCCCCTACCCCCCAGGGGGAGGCAATGAGCAGGTATTTCCCTAAGGAGAAATCACACTTATACTTGCGGATGTGTCTCAAGACACGCAGGCAGCCCTCTGTGATCCAGCCTGGTGCTCTCTCCCAGTAACAAGAGGGCCCAGCTAAGAGAGCACTTCTGGCTCAAACACAGAAGTCTTCTGACCCAGTCACATTAGGCGAGGCAAGCCCTACCCAGAGTGTGAAAAGTGAAACCTCAGGACTTTCTTGCAGATGCCAGAGATGGGTGGGAGGGCCTGATGACTGGTTACTGGTTTGGAAGGTGCTGCTGCCCTTTCCTTAGGGAGTAGTGCTTTCAGGCCTGTTTTTCTGTTTGCAAACCAAAGAAGCAGTTAATATTAGAACCTGCTTCCCAAAGGAGTGCACCTGTGGACTCTGGGTTTGGTGTGTGTTGGGTTGGTGGCGGTGGGCTGGTGTGGGGGAGAGGCAGGCAGATGTAAATTATTTCTTTTCCTATTTTTCAGAATTGTTGATTCTTTGTTTGATTCCTGAGCTGTTGGGTGCAGGACAGAGCACTGGGGGAGCTTAATAGGAACACAGGGCTTTGCTCCTGGCATGGCCAGAGATGACCACACAGCCCTGGCCGGTCAGCCATGCTCTTTGAGCCTATAGTTTCTAGTCTGTAAAACGGGTGGAACCAGCTTCCTTACCAACCTCCATGCTTTGCAGGAGATCCAGTTCTGGTTGTGTCAGGGCTGGCATTCCTGAGTTTCCCTGCTAGTGCCCCCTGGGTGGGGCAGTGACCAGCTGGACCTGCTTGCTGGCAGGGGCTGCTCCTGCAGCTGTGATTGTGGCTGCCAGAAATGAGGTTTTGTCATTCATCAGAGTCGGAATCAGTGGATCTCATCGAAATCATTGGTTCTTAACTAGGGCGATTTGCCTTCTAAGAGACATTTGGCCATGCCTAGAGACATTTCTGGTTGTCACAACTAAGGGGCAGTGGACAGTTGCTACTGGCATCCGATGAATAGAGGCTGGGGTGCTCCTAAACGTCGTGTGATGCAAGCCCAGCCCCACAACCAAGAACTACCTGGTCCAAAATGTCAATAGCACCACTGTAGAGAAACCCTGATATAAACTGACCTACTTTCTCCTTTAGTTTTTATCCACTACCCTGTGCTAGAGCCAGATGGAACTCCTTCCACAATCTGCTTCGTCTACAGTAAGGCTTTCTGACCCCTTCCTTCTCTTTCCCACTTTGAATTCGTCTGTCACCCTCCTGGTCTTCCTTTGCATAGTGGTCTGTATTTCTGATGAATTTGAGTTGTTTATTGTTGCAGTGTCCAACCCCTTTCGACTGGAAACACTCAAGAGCAGGATCTGCTGCTGGTTCCCCCTGTGTGCTCTAGGACAGAGTTCATGGCCCTGGCAGCCCTCAGAAACTCTGGGAGCTTTTCAAGAGAACACAAGCCCAAGGCTAGGGGCTGGTGAGATTTGAATTTTCTGCTCAGAGGCACCTAGACAGTTTTACATAGGATTTTAGGGAATTCACAGATCCCTGAAGCCCTCCCTCTAATCCCTGGATCGGAGGCCCTCATGTATGTGACAAGAACACCCATTGTGCTCTGGAATGTCATTCCAGAACAATGCCAAGACTATTATAAGTGTGAAACGTGGCACAGGAGTGCGTGTTCATGTGTGTGTTTAAAGTTTAGATCTTTTCAGGGATCATCTCTAATCCAGTCGTCAAAAAAATGGTACCAAGGGGTCGTGAAGACCCCTAAGGCTATAAAAATATATTTATGTAAGTTAGTAGAGGCTGTAGCAAGATCTTTCTCATAAGGTCATTGTTCACACAAATACAGAGTAATGCCTTTCCATTTGCACTTTGGGAGGTCCCTGTTGTCTATGTTTGGATTGAAGGAAGAGATGAATGTGTGACTTGTAAGGCTAACAAATTAATTCAGAATATAAATATTCCTGTTGAGTGGGAAAGGTTCTCAAATGATAAATACTTGTTGTAAGTGCTGAGCTTGTGAACTGAAGTGGTTTGGGGCTTTGGGAAGAGGTGCAGGTGGTACTTTTCTTGTGCTCTTTGCCAGAGTTTGTCTTGTTCCCGGGGTTATTCCTGGGCAGCCGTGGTAAGCAGCCCATGCTGAAACGTCTTCACATATTGAGGGCTTGTTTTAGCCCGAGAATCTGCCAGGCTCTGGCTAGTTCTTGCTATTTTTATTGTGGGCGCATGCGTGTGTGTTTTTAAACTCTGAGCAGAAGCACCTCGTCCATCCCTCACAGAAGAACGTCAGAAGACTCTGTGTTCTTAGCCACACCCTAGATTTAAGACACAGCTAATAAGGGTTTGTTTTTTCAGGCCTCGTAAAGTTAGGAACACAAAATATAAATATACATGAATAAACAAATGTGTTTCTTCTTCTGATTAAGTTTTTATACCCAGGCTTTTAAAATTAGCCTATGGTTTAAAAAGATGAACAAACTAAAATTAGCCTATGGGTAAAGTAAATAACAATGAAATCTTTCTGCAGTTTCTAGTGAAGATTATAATCTGCTTTAGGGACAGAGGAATGAATGCATTTCTTTCTTTAAGCCTTAGTTATTAGTCTTACGGGAGACTAATCTCCGTAAGAGAGGAGGCTGCGGGATCTTATCTGTGGCTGTAGCTTAGCGTCTTGTATAGAGAAGGTGCTCAGTACCTGCTTGTTGCTAGTGATAAATTCATCTGTAAAGATTAGAATTTGACTGACATAAAGATTATAAGGGTAAGGTAGGGTAGAGAGAAGTAGAAACATCTGTGTTTTGGGGGGTTTTGTTTTTGTTTGCAATTGGACACAGCATCTTAGAAAAATGACCAGGCCCTGCCCTTATTTTGTGCCTTCGTGTCTCCGTGGAGCAGGGGCAATCCAAGTGCAGTAAACCAGATAGTTTACCTGCTACCCTGTGCTCCAGGGGTAGAAGACTGACACCTAGTTTCACCCAAAAGGGTGATTCAGGTTTCTTAATTCTTTACAAGACAACAGCATAGTACTCTGGGCAAGTGCCTGTTTGTGAGCTGATTCTCCATCTGGTACCTAGGAATTAATCGTGTCATTGCGAGAGTCGGGAGCAGACATCTAATTCTTTTCAGTGTGGTCTTTTGCAATGATAGGTGTGATTTGTCCATCGGGAATGTTATCCTGAGTGTGAGGGAGAAAAAGGTTTTGTTCCTCCCCTATTAAGGCAGTGTCTGAGGGGCAGACTGACCATGCCAAGAAACTCATCTAACTTCCCTTCCTCCTGGGCCTGTCATGAGGACCTGACATACCTGGTCATGACGACATGTGCCCTTGAACTTGAGGAAGTGGTCTGGGGAAAGTCCAGTGGGCTTCGAGAGGAGGGTTAGGCCCTTCTCATTTTAAACTCCGCTGGCTGAAACCAAACTAACAAGCAGTCTTCAGGGTAGTTACTAGCTCTTGGATGTGATTTCCTTCCACCCCGAAGATATGGGCAAAGCCCCCAGGGGAAATTAAAAGGAGATGGTGAGGCAATGCTTCCAGCAGCGTGAAGGGGCCTCGAGCCCTCCTCTGCCCTAGCCTGGTTACTACAGCAGTCAAGAGCAAGGAACCGAAGGGCAGCCTTCCCCATCCTGCCTGCTTGTTAACCAGTTTGAGCCAGGAGGGAGAGGAGGGGGTCAACAGAATTACACTATTTTCAGGATTGTCTTTATGTGAAAACTAGTCTGGAGATACTATTCCTTCCCCAGCCCCACCCCCAAGCACTTAAATTATCAAAAAAAAAAACAGCTTCACAGAAAATCAGGGAAAGCCAGGTTTTATAGGTTTAAACAGTTTTGCTTGAAATGTTTATAGTAAGAGCACAGCAGGACATATCTGGTTCAGGAAATGCCCTTGGTTTTATGCGTAGTTTTTAATACTGGTGATGAATAGAAGCTGACACTTTCAGTCTTAAATATTTCAATCATCATGAGCAAAAGCAGTTGAGATAAGAATGCAGTTGAAGCCCAGGAAACCTGAGTGGGTAAATACTCACAGAGGTTTGCAGTAGAAGTTGTGAGATGGCCCGGTGGCTCAATGTGTTTCTTTCTGTCCCTGCAGTATGCCACCACGGGCTGCTCCCTGACCCTGCACCACACGGAGAAGCCAGAACACGAAGACATCTGTGAATACCGTCCCTACTCCTGCCCTTGCCCTGGTGCTTCCTGCAAGTGGCAGGGGTCCCTGGAAGCCGTCATGTCGCATCTCATGCACGCCCACAAGAGCATCACCACCCTTCAGGGAGAAGACATCGTCTTCCTGGCTACAGACATCAACCTGCCGGGCGCTGTCGACTGGGTAATGATGCAGTCGTGCTTCGGCCATCACTTCATGCTGGTGCTGGAGAAACAGGAGAAGTATGAAGGCCACCAGCAGTTCTTCGCCATCGTCCTGCTCATCGGCACCCGCAAGCAGGCTGAGAACTTTGCCTACAGGCTGGAGTTGAATGGGAACCGGCGGAGACTGACCTGGGAGGCCACACCCCGGTCCATTCACGATGGCGTGGCCGCAGCCATCGTCAACAGCGACTGCCTTGTTTTTGACACAGCCATAGCACGTCTTTTTGCAGACAATGGGAACCTTGGAATTAATGTGACTATTTCTACATGTTGTCCGTGATGCACCGTGTGGCTTTCATAAACCATTGAAATTATTTGGGCATAGTGCTCTGTATTTAATAAAGGTTTTTATAGATGCTTTATTCGGTATGTCTTCACAAGTCAGGACCCACAGTTATCCTGTGTTTTATTTGAACAGCAGCTTCTCATCTGGCATCAGCCCAACAAAGTTTATGAAACTGGGATGAATGGGTTTGGCCTGTTAGTAATTTGGAGGCTGTTCTGTGATCTAAAATCAACTCTATTATTTTATTTACTTTCTGAACAACACTTGACAAGTTGCTCGGGGCTCCTGTATGTTAGAAATTGGAGGCTCCTTCCCGCCTGCCTCTCTGCATTGGTCCCTCGACATTGACAAAAGCACAGTGACTGTCAGCAGATTCCTTTACTTTTGTTTTCAGGGGGTAGGGATTGCTTTAGTGCATTTTAAACAGTGCTCCTCAAACTGGATGGCTGACCAATATACACAGAGTCACCTGGAGTGCTCATCTTAAAACTGCAGATTTGAGGAGCCTGTGAATCTAACAATCTCATTGGATGATTCTTTTCAATAGTAAAGGTTGAGAATTACTGGGTTAAATTGTGGAAAAGGGTCCAGATTTTAAAGGTGCTTTAAGATTGCCCTCTACTGATAACTTTGTCTTTCTACTGTTTCATCCCCCAACCTCCCCCCACCCTCAAATTAAGACTAGAATATAGATCCACATGAACACACTCCTGAGATTGAGTCATCTTGTGTTTTGGGTGGATTGCCTAGGAAAGCAAGTCATGGCTATTGATAGTTCTCACATCGTGAGTTTTTGCTCACCACTAGTACATATGACCTGTTTACACGTGGCTTCCCTCGGAAGCCCTCTTTGACTGTAGCTGGTGTGAAAGACTAGATCAGTAGAGTTGGGAAAGCTTTATAACCAGTGTAATATGCTTGCTATTTAAAGGTATTTTTTTTTGTTTGTTTTTGCCACATTCACTTTAGTTTTTTAATAAATATTTTCCAAAAATGAATATGCTTCACTTTCCTAGTTGAATAATGTGTACTGATTGAGCACTGACTGTGTGCAGGTGCAGTGACGCTTCACTGCTGTCATTGCTTCCACATGAGGAAGCCGTCATTCTCCAAGATCATGGTACGGGTCAGTGGCAGCACTCGAGTTAAAACTCACATCTGAACCATGGATCGGAGTTGCAGATCTCCTCCCTGGGGCTGTCCTTTCTGTCTGATAGTACCAGCTCCTATGCACGGAGAGTGTTGCTTCCGCTTGACAGAATCAAAAGGAAGAGTCAGGGCTAATGCTGTTGTCCAGAGTATTGGGATTGATCCTCGGTCCCAACCCTAAACTCTCAAAAGAATTCAGGAAATTTACCCCAAATACTTGGCGAGAATTGAAGACAGCTTATTCATTAGCATAGCACCAGGTGAAGAGTACAATGTTGAGTTTTTAGCCAGCATAGAGTTCTGGCAGTTAAGGAATTGCTATAGTAACTTATTTTCTAAGCTGTTCTTCAAATAGAGGTGAAAAACAGGACAAAAGTAGGTGCTTACAACACGTTTGGTGAGTGAATTAAAGTCACAACTCTTATTACTAAGAATGTCATGTTTCAAGCCGGTATACAGAGGGATTCATGGAGGTGAAGCTAAGATTAAGGAGCAGGTGGACTTTGACCCTCAGGGGCAGACCTAGTCTGGATGTGGCCATCCAGGGGCTGCATGGCATCCAGGCAATGTGTTGTTGTGTGCATGAACTAGCCAAGCCTGTCTGTATGGCTTCATGTCCACATCATTCCCTTCTTGTTACATGTGATGGAGGAAATCAGGACTGAGTGGTCAACAGGGCACCAAACAGTAAAACTATAAACAAAAGACCATGAAGGAGAAAGTAGAAACAATTACTCCAAAAGCACAAAATGTTAGAATTTCAGCCCTGAGAAGTAAAATGGTGGGTTAGCAGCTACACTGTATACTTGTGACAGCACTGACTCTAAAATTCAGGCTTCTTGGGCCGGCCCGTGGCTCACTTGGGAGAGCGTGGTGCTGACAACACCAAGTCAAGGGTTAAGATCCCCTTACTGGTATTCTTTTTTAGAAGAAATTGAAAAAAATAAAATAAAATTCAGGCTTCTTGACTCCCCAAACATGCTTCTAGAATTTAACAAATAAAAACATTTTAGGCAACAAAACTGAACTTTCAATTTTCTGAGTACCGTAGTTCTCTTTAATCTCTGTCACTGGAAATCTGTAAACTTTACCTTTATTCTGTCTTGAATCTACGTATTTGCTGCCAGAAAAAAATCCCCAGGTTATTCCCTGTTTTAAGAGGAAGTGAAAACAGCAAAATAGATTATGTAAATTGAAATGCCTTTTTATACAGTTGCAATTGCAAATACAATTTAAAAAGTAACAATAGATATTTGTCAAAATTTATCACATGGTTCACTTAAGTACCGTATTTAAAAAAAAAAAAAAAACAATGAGAATTTTTTTTTTCTCTTTCCTGTCCTAGTTCAATATTCTAATTTGGTAAAAATCTGGCTGATCAAACAAGATGGTAGTTCCAGCCTGTGTTTTGTGATGCCTGAGCCATTCTGAAAAAGAAAAGGTTCTCAAAACACCCTGGAAGAAAATGTTAACAGTCGTCAATTCTGGGTGGCAGGAACCTGGATATATGTTATATTATTACTTGCATTATGCCATATTTTAAAAATTTCTTTAAAAACCAACGTTAAGAGCAGGGGTTCCCAATCTTTCTTGGGTTCCCTGAATCCTGATGATTGAGAGGATGGAGAGGGTGGAGTCCTTGCGGTGAACTTCCCAGTGGGGGTAATGGGAAGCTTTAGAGAAGAGGCCATTGCAGCCACCATCTTGGAACTCTCCCAGGTAGAACCTCAGCTCTACCAACCTATCCGAGCTAACGTCTGAGTTCCCTGTGGTAGCAGTGTCATGCAACTCCCTTACTATACCACCCCCAGTAATTTTCCAGAAAAAAATTTTCTTGTATCTAACTTCATTCATTCCTTGAGACTTGCCAAGTTGCAAGCAATGTGACCCTAAGTTGGTCAGTTGACCTCTCTGGTCCTAAGTTTCCTAACCTACAACACTTGAACATTTATTTTCTAAATGTTTTTACTTCATTACCCATTTCTGTGAGACAACTGAGCTATCTAATTTTTTTTTTTTGTCTTTTTTGTGACGGGTAAGGGGATCGCAACCCTTGGTGTGGTGTCGCCCACACCACGCTCAGCCAGTGAGTGCACCGGCCATCCCCATATAGGATCCGAACCCGCGGCGGGAGTGTCCCTGCGCTCCCAGTGCCGCACTCTCCCGAGCGCGCCACGCGGCCGGCCCCTGAGCTATCTAATTTTAAAGTTAACGTGTGTAAATCATTCCGGCCAGCCTTCAAGTGAGGTGCTTCTGGGGTGACTGACCCAGCATTAGCAGGTGAGTCATGCTCCAGCTGCCTCTCAGATTCCCACAACTTAGCGCTTGGGGTGGTGCTGGGCATAGGGACCAGTCTTGCTTTCCAGTTCCGGCATGAGAGGCTTGCGGCCTTGACCCTTCCTGATTCTGCAGCCAGTGCTTGAAAGTACAATTATAATTTCACTGATCCATGAAAGGGGGCTTCAAGGATGGGAAATCTAGTTCCCTATATTGTTAAACCTGCTTCTGCTATTAATTTGAAGCTTAACATTTCTTATTTGTGAAGACTGTTTATTTGTGTTATTAGAGTCCCTGAATGATGAAGCAAAAAGAACTTTAGACATCATTGACACTAACATTCACCACCACTACCATGTGCCAAAATAAATAAATGAGACCTACAGAGGGGAAGCCACCGGCCGCAAACCACACAACTGGCTAGAACTTTCTGTGATGATGACATGGTGTCTTCTGTATTGAGTAAAATGGAAAAAATTACAAAATTATTAAAACTACAAGCCAATATTTTACAATAATTAGGGCAAATAAAGGGAAGTTGCTCTCAATCTTCATTCGGCCAACCTCTCCCCATGCCCACTGGACCGCTGTAAGAGCTGCTAACTGCTCGTCCTCCCTCCTCCCTGCTCCAACCCATCCCACTCACAGGCAATCAGAAGTCTCCTGTTAAATGAAATCGGTAGTGTCACAGCTCTAATATTCTCTTTCAGAGCACCCTTCCTTTTCTTTCAGACCACTTACCACAATTGCAATGGTGTATTTTATTTGTTCAGTGTCTGCCTCCCTTCCACAAACTCCAGGGTGATAGAGACTCTGATGGTTTTGTTCATCCCCGCATCCTTGGCACCTGGACATCCAACTAATATCTGATTGGATTCATTAGTACTAACAGGCTAGTCTGACAGCAGCACTGAAGTCAACATCTTAAGAGTTAATGCTCTCCGTTGTACCAAAAACCACTGGGGAAATTGCCACAGGTAGGCAGGGAAGACAGATGGGGAGATAAAATCTAACAATCCAGAGAAGGGAGGAAACAAAGCATTCTCTGCCCCGTCATTCTCTAGAGAAGGACAGACACATTAGTCTGAAGGACCTATGCCTTGAAATTTCTTATGTCATTGTGTCACCTGATATTCATATCAAAGGCAGACTCTGCTCTGTGTTTGATGATCCTTGCAGAGGGAACAGATCAAGGTTCCGTTGACCTGCAGGGAATTGAATAACAATATTAGATCAGTTTGCAAAGTCCACCAAGATCACAGTAGTTGCCATTTATTGGGCACCTATTATGTGCAAAATGCTTTGTCTGTATTAACCCATTTAATCCTTCCAATGAGACAAAAAGGGCTTATTATCCCCATTTTGGAGTTGAGGAAATTAAGGCTCAGAGAGATTAAGCAACTTGCGTACACTCATACATCTGGTAAGCAACAGAGCTGAGTTAGCCTCCCACTGCAGAGTCCATGCCCTTCACCATGTCACGTGATCCGTCATTATTTGTGTTTGGCTTTCACACACTGGCCACCAACAGAAATATTGCTTATTTGTAACAACTGGTAAGCAACAGAGCTGAGTTAGCCTCCCACTGCAGAGTCCATGCCCTTCACCATGTCACATGATCCGTCATTATTTGTGTTTGGCTTTCACACACTGGCCACCAACAGAAATATTGCTTATTTGTAACAAGTAACGATAAACAGGCTCTGGGGATGCAGAGTGCTTGGTGAGTGCAGAACAGAACATGTGTGTTGGAACTTTCTCCATGGTCACAACATGCTAGAAGGGGATGGAAACCTAGAGATCATTCAGACCCTCACCACTTAGAGTGTGGTCCACAGAACAACAGCAGCAGCCCCTGAGAGCTTGTTAGAAATGCAACATCTCAGACCCCAGACCTACTGAGTCAGAGTGTGCATTTTAACACAATCCCCAGATGATTTGGATGCATGTTCAAGCTTTAAAGCGCTGGTGCAGACAAGGGGTTCTCAACCCATGTGTCCTTTAGAACCACCTAGGGAGTTTAACAGTACACCAGTCCCTAAGTCAGAATCCTTGGCTCCAAGGCTGAACTTCTGGGTGCTTTTTAAAGCTTCCCAGGAGAGGCCAATATGCGGTCAGTGTTGAGAACCACTGACTTAGTCCAACCCCGCTGCCTTCTTTTCTTTTTTCCCTAGTTTTATGCTGCAGCTAAAACAAGTGACCTGCCAAGTATAATGAAAAGAATGTGGACTTGGGAGATAAACAGGTCAAGATTTAGATCTTGATTCTGCCACTTATGAACTTTAGTTATTAAGGCTTCAAGCAAGTCACTAGCCTCAGTTTCCACATTTATAAAATGGGCATAATACCATCCACCCCAGAGGGTCACCATGAGAAACACAAAGGTCACGCTCCAAGGAGAGGATGTGAGTACATGGCAGGACCCTGATAAATGGCAACCACTGTGCCTGCCAAGTCAGATCACTTGGGGCAGCAGCAGATGGTCATCAGGGCAGCGAAGGGCTGGAGCTTGGCGGTTTTTCCCCAGCATCTGCTCCGATTGCTCCACAACTCCATGGATACAACTTCTGTT